TTTGAAAGAATTCAGTATTTGTGTCTGAAGCATGAGATGAAATTCATGATGCATTACTCTAATTAAAATCTGTTACATGTGAACTTCAGCTAAGGAGTCAGAGTGACCACAGTTCACTGCCCATGCTGTTTTTTCTCTTATCTGATGAGAGGAATTCATCCTAATTAGAGGGCAGATAAAGGACATTTGTTAGACAGCATTGTGCACCGATACAGTCCGTTTGTTTTGACAATAATATCATTACTCAAACAAACATTCATCTTCATTGCAGCTTTCAGATTTTAGCAACGTATAAAAGAGCAGTTGGAGACTACATACCTTCACCAACACGAGGCAGGAACTGAGTCCGTCAGTCTGGATTAGCTTCTGATATTTCCAAGACATCAAGACAGTGTGCCCGATTAGATTTTAATAACCCTTGCACTAAATATATATATGAAAAAGAGTGTAACCCAGGATTAACCCAGCATTTCATAAGCTTGTTATGGTGCGTTTACTTGATAGGTTAGTAAGCGTCCACTGTGAGAAACCAAAGTTGTTTTAAACAACTTTTGCTTTGTTGAAACTGAAACTTTATAAAAGACTAAATAAACCAGAAGCGACAAAAGCAGTGCACAGAATCTGTTTATTTTTTTAATTTTCATTCAAGTTGTGCTTCCATTTCAATGTCCTTGTCACATGTTCGGATGTCTTTTAAAAGAAAACAGTCACTAATTTCCAACCACATCAATCAACAATGAGCTGCAAAAGAGTTTTCACTAGGCTAAAAATAATAATAATTGCAACATTTGAAATGTGCTGAAGGAGAGACTGCTTTAAAACATTTTAGGAATCTTCTTTTGGGCTTTGTGAACCACAATGGAGAACTGCCTGCTTATTTGGGTACCAAATAAGAAAACAGGTAAAGGTAAAGACCAATTCATGGTTTCTGCGGACTAAACTCAAACAAGCAGATCTGAACATGTTATGTGCACTAGAAAAGGAGTCTATCATGAATATGGTGAAGGCTGGATATTTTTAAAGTTCATTAAAAAAAAATGTAATATGCCATAAATGGATACCATAAAGTACACTCTTTGTGTGAGCTGAAGAAGCCAACACATCAAATTTTAACCTTTTGATGGTGTAACGGTGCACAACCTGTTTTTTATGTGCAATATTGCTAAAAGACACAGACACAACCACACACACAAATAGCAACCAAAAACAAGATGTGGAAGTGTCATCAATAAAATATACATGGTGCAAAAACCAGGTTTTTATGTAAGTTTTTTTTGGCACATATTCCGTTGTTTCCCTCTGAGGACCCAAAATTTGGGCATGACATTCCTCACAGCTGGCTATGTGGACCCTCTTCAACATGGAAACCATGAACTGGCCTTGAGTTAGACTCTAAAATGAATAAATTATAATAAGGCCAGTAGCTACTGTTCTCAGATGGAATAAAAGCTTCCACAACATTTATACAGCTAGGCTCATTCCTGTTTGAGATTAAGACGGTATCAGCACTGAAGGGGCCACCAACTGCTGGGATACGCTTTAGATTGTGTAGATCAGGAGTCTCCAACTCCAGTCCTCGAGAGCTACTCTCCTTCAGCTTTAAGATGCATCCCTGTTCCAACACAACTGAATCGAATGATTGGCTTGTTACCAGGCCTTTGCCAAACTTGATGGCCTGCTGAAGAGGTAATTCAACCATTTCATTGAGCTGTGTTGGAGCAGGGATGCATCTAAAATCTGCAGGACCAAAGCTCTCGAGGTCTGGGCTGGTGTAGATACTATAATGGGTTCAAAGATTGTAAAAGTAGTTTTCAGAGTCTTTGAATCACTTGGGGCTATTAGTAACGATGATAATTACACAATTTGCAAGCTTTTGAATGGTTTTGGTTCAGATTAGTTTAAGGAAGAAATGGATAAAGCCAACCCCAGTGACTTCAAAGGATTTTGAACTGCAAACAAGTTTGGCCCAAGTGTTTAGAATTTTCAATGTAATAAATGTTACCACCCAGAAATCATGTTCCTATGATTGAGGGGACAGAAAAACAAGCAATATTAAATAAAATGCAAATTTCCAGAGAGTTACATTCACACAGTGCAATGCTTACAATGGTAGCCTTTACCAATCATCTTTTGCATGACATTCATGGTGTCTAAGTACAAATACATGTGTTCAGGCGACATGATTCGTAGCATCACGTCAGTCAACATTAAATATGAATTCACTCGGCAAGTCAACACTGTGTGGTGTATATGGTTTTGTAGACTCTCAGTCATTTGTAGTCACATAGATGTTAAATGACACACTGAGTAACATAGTGACATCTTTTAAGGTACTTGGTAACACTTTCATTAAGGCAACAGCTTTGTTTTGAAATCACTACTGACATTTCTGTACAATTAAACAAGTTGTTTAGTTAAATTAATCGACATGGATTTCAATAGATGATCACTTGTTTAAATCGTTATTTAAACATGACCAGGTACAGCTTGTTGAGTGGGAACATTTACTTATTTAGTTTCTGTTTAAGGACCAAATAATTTTTTGACAAAATCAGCAGCAGCTGAGCTAAAACCTTAGTATGGACACCTGTTACTAAAACTGTTAATAATAATATATAATATCTTAGACTAAATGATTGCTGTGTTACTTTACAACACGACTTCACAACGCAGGGTTTTTTTGTTGTGTGAGGACATTTCATCTCTCTTTCAAGACGCTTGTTGGGTTGAGTTGGCAGTGTGGGATGAATTGCCTGGTTCTAGGTTACTGAGACCTGGTGTTTTAAGCCACCACCTCTGTTCAGTGCTTACTGTTTACAGGAGATACAGACGGCCTATTTTACTCCTGTCACAGACACAGATGAGTCTGTCCTGTTGAGCTGGCTCTTTATGTTGTACCATGCATCTGACTGGTTGTAGGTGGATGACAATGACGAAA